TTGCTGGATTGATTAGTCATGCTTTGTTATGTAAATACAGTATATTCAATTTTATTTATTTTTATTTTATTATACTATATTGATCCCGTTAAGGGGGAAATTTGTCTCTGCATTTGACCCATCCCTGTATATAGGGAGCATATATACAGTATGAGCATGTATATATGCGACTATTTTTTTGACTATATGCATTGTCCGTTAATGACGAAGCATCCCGTAATGTGCGTATTCATGTATCTGTTTTCTTTTACAAAGCAAGAATTATGGTGTGGAGAAATGGGGATTGTGTGGCGATCGCTTTAGCCCTGTTTGAATCAGTAGGGAACAGCTAAACGCTGCGGGGAGAGTTTGTAGTGTGTTGGTTTTCCTGCTAAGCTAGTTTAGCGCGCCTCCCAGAACACACGCGCCTCACCAGAGTACGTACAATGTTTTGTTTCCGGGTGGGCGTGTCAGACACCATGTTGCCAGTTTGAACAAAGTCCACCGAAAACATTATATTTCCCACAATTTAAGCTTCTGTATTTTCCAAATGCACTAGTATTATTCAAACGTATTGTCCGGTTCGTAAGCCTCGTACCGAATGGTTTAATACGAATGTGTCTTGTTACACCCCGAGAAACAAATAACCGTAGCTGTGGCGTCATAATGAGATCATTAGGAGGTGGTTCAACTGTAGTAGGACAGCACTGAAGGCCCAGTTATAAAATGCACGGCCCGCCACTGCGTTAAGGTACATGTTCGCCACTGCTGTACAAGACCATCCCGATGAAGAGTTTGTAACCCTAACCCATACACCGGCGACACCCTATCGGTTAAACAGGTCAAAGAGGAATTTGTGAGTATTATTGAGTATAATACTCCGGTAAAAAGAGGCATTGATTAACACGTATCTTCCCCACACATTCCAAGCATCAGCAGCGTTATTTCTGGTCTTTGTTGCACTGACCTGTTGACCAGGTAGTCCCAGTTGAGTGTGGTCCAGTCCCAGGCCATGTTCTGCCCCAGTGGGTTAAGGGAAACATATCGCACCACAGTGAAGAGATCCTGACTCCTCACCACACTCTCATTTTTAGAGGCCTCCAGGAGCCTGATGGGAACAAAGGTTATTCTCTCCACATAAATATTCCTCATAATGATTTTAAAGATGATCTTGTATGTAAAATCCAGTCATATTATCAGACTAAAAGTAAAAGCGGTGCGACAACACAAAGGAATGTCCCAATAGAACGTTAGAAACTAAAAGTTTACAACTTACATCAGATACTGTTGAAACATCACAGTTCCCAAGGTCAGGAATGAACCTTCATGTTAAAAATTCTATATATTTATATATGAGGTATCAGTTTCATCTCTCTATTGCAGTGAATTGATTTTCTCATCTAACTGAGGGTGAGCGGGCAAAACATAAGACTCTCCCTATGAGTCCAAAAGTGTCTGCAAAGCAGTTTGAAACAGTCCATGCAGAGGAAGCGAGAGTCCCCGAGGCTGAATCTGATCGCCACCCAGTCCAGTGCATTGTTTAAAGGAAAACCATGGTTTATTACAACACAGGTTTTACTTTCATAGGTTGGCGAGAAGTCACTTTCTCATACAACCAGAGGAGTCACCCCCTGATGGCCGTTAGAGACAATGCAACTTTAAGACACTTCAGCATTGTCTTCACTTCTTAGAACTGGAGGTGGCCACCTGATCTCATCCCAGCCAAAGTGATAAAATGAAAGTGTTTTCAGGTTATCAAGTCAACCACTCTGTATGATGAGTTGTTATTAATCACCTGTAGAGGAGTTCCACATTCTCCACAGAAGCCAGTCCATACAGCAGCTTGTCCTTCTCTTGAGCCAAAGAAGTGTCTTTGTACCGCTGGAACATTATGTTCCACTTTGCTTTGGTGCCCGAGTTCTTCATGCCATATCGATAGACCAGCAGCCTCAGGTTCACTGCCACGCTGCTGCAGGTCGAAAAGCCAACAAATGTTAGTCAGGTTCTGAAACAAACAGCTGTGTTTAAAAGATATTGTTTGAGGTGTTGCTTTTCTTGTTCTCACAGAAAACTGGTGAAATGTTTACAGGGTGGCCATGGCATACCTGCTTAAATGTTCTTGCTATTTGAAACATTATTGGTAAATGTCAGATGTGGGTGAAAATGACTAAATTACATACTATGACACATGATATTTTGAAAAATGATACCTGATTTCCCCACTGATCCACTGGTCGAAAATGCGAGAGGCTTCGTTCAAAGCTTCCTGATCTCCCATCTGACAGGCGATGCTGAGCGCCGTCTCCCTCAGTAACCTGCCGCCAGCAGAACACATGACACCCATTTCACATTGTGGTAAATTAGCGCATTGGGTTAGCATGGGGTTAGCATAAAAGAAGGACACGTGTTGGTAACAGTAATGGGATTGTGACTGCTCGGTCTGTACCTCTGCGTCTGTGTTCCGCTATCAGTCCATCCAAGTTGCGTTGTGAGTGCTTTAACATGGTTACGAAACAGTTTCTAGAAAAAACATGGTTCTTAATTAAGACAAGACACTACAGGCAGAACCAGTTTTCATGCACTAGTCAATTTTGAGATTTTGGTCTATTTTGCTTTCACATGTCTTCTCCCAGACCTGTGGAAAACATCCAAAACATACATTTAGGTGTTTCTTTTACCCCTTGGTGTCTGTGGATCTCTGCTAAATTCACCTAAAGTTACCATTAGATAGTGTATTATTTGCACATTTAAACATAACATTTCAGAAAACTTGTAATACAAAAATAATTGTCTTAATGTAAGTAATTAACTGGGCAAGTTTCATATTTTTTTCCTCTATTCACCTGTAGTGTCTTCAAAATGTAAGTAAACTTTCAAAACATATCTTTAAAGGCTGCTTTCTCTAAATGGGTTTGACTCTGACTCACTCAGAAATCTCCACTTCAGTAGCTCTTACATACACCAATTAGGGCCATTGAAGGTAAAATAATATTAATATAAATATAATAAAAATGTTTTAAGAAATCTTATGTATGAATTTATTTGTCAGGCTTATTGACTCTACATGTCGTCATCTTGGTTTTAACCAACATAAGGTTTAGTAGCACACGCTACCTGTCCCTGCTGTGGGGACATTGGTACAGCTGTCCGTTTGTAACGCATTACTAGGCCTATGTACTTTTATTGTCCTTGTATATCATTTTATGTATTTGTCATATATGGACCCTGAGTCTGAAATAAAGTTTGATTGATAATAATAATAATAATCAGTCACAAATTTACAAGAAAAAAACTTTTTTGCAGACATCACTTCAGTCTGCAAGGTTGGATCGACCTCATCACACCATAGACCCAGCAGAGAGCAAAATATATTACCTATATAAGTGTCTATTTATGTTCATAAAAGAACACAGAAATAACATGAAAGTAAATGCTTATCTGTATCTTTCAGGACCTTTGCCTTGCTCAGTGGTCATCCATCTTCCTTGCTTACTAATTTGAATGAAATACAATCGCACATTTTTTGCACAATTTCAGATTTTTTTATTAACGCAATTTACTGACTATATCTCTGATTCTTTTCACCGAATATTTAACCCACTCATCTGGCTCTGTAAAAAAAAAAAAAGGCTGCTGTGTTTATTTTTGCTGAGGTGGCTTGTTTTGATCACAGATAAACATCAAGGTTAATGAGGTTTTAAACTTGAAGGATTAGCAGCTCCCTCACCTGAAACAACGGGTAGAGTGCAGCATTGCCTGACAGCATGTCCCGGACATATGCGATAGAGGAGGCCACACGGTCCCAGACTATGTAGTCAGTCTCATTAGTCAGGTACTTGGTAAGATTGAAGGCATTGCCGTAATCTATAACATCTGCCCTGAAACAGTGGGATGAAACAGTCGTTGGCATCTCTGTATAGATGTCAGAGACATTGTCATCAATGTTGATGCAGTGTGTTTTGGGCTGAAATCTTACCTTGCAAGAGCAAAAACATCATCAATGTAGCTTGTGCGATCAGCTGCATCAAACTCCTGTTGAAGACAGAGTCAAAGAGAAGGTTACCATCGCGGTAACAGTGAGTTTGGTGTCTCTGATGATAGATCATTGTGTCATTAAAGGCTCTGGCTCACGGTGTTCTTACTCTTCCCCTTCAAGCTAAGAAGTTGGCATCAAAGGTAAAAAGCATAACGCAGAAAATTCAGCTCAAAATGTTTAGATGACACGTATGTGTCTGGTAGTTTTAAATGTAATACTGGCTGAATGTAGATTAATGGTGCGACGGAGATTTCAAGAATAAAGTTGTACTATCTTGAGGAAAGAAATCCAAATTGTACAAGAATAAAACGAACATTTTCATGAGAAAATGTCATAATAGGAAGTCATAGTATTGTGAGAAAAAAGGGTTATTTTTGTTGTTTGAGAAGAACATTCATGTTATGATAGGTTTGGCTGAATTAGATTACATGTGTATGTGTTACACATTTTTTGTCTCATAAAGTTATGACTTAATTCTTATATTATCCCTTTTATCTCATAACTTGTCTCATACTTAAAATATATGGAAAAAAGCAGAAGGACCCCTGTGGCTTCTACTCCGTTCTATTCAATGCAGCAATAGAAGTGCACACCCGGTATAATGCTGCTGGTTTACTATCATTCAACACAGCACATGCTGAAGTGAATGTATGATTTTGGTGTCAATGCTCACCCTGTGGCAAACCAGGGGGAAAAGCCGAGCAGACACAGCACAGGAGGCGGATCCCCAAGCTCAGATTGGGGGAGGTGATAGAGGGAGTATACTATCCAGTGCAGGTGCTGCAGCCACTAGGCACGTGGCAGTGGTCACACCTGCAGCCCATGAGCTAATTAGAATGAGCATATGTTCCCAGGGCTGTGAAGCAGCAGCGGCAGACAAACTGGGCAGAAGAATACGAGGATCTCCTGAACCTCTGGAGAGGAGCTGCAGCAGACCGGAGGTAATTAAGCGGACTCACCTCTCTCCTCTGCTCTACCCAAACAGGAGGGAGGAATCGTCTCACACTGGGTGTAGACCGAAGGCCAAAGACCCCGACCGGGAGGAATCTTTTGTTGAGTTTGACCCTATCCCGCTTTACCCTACCCTGTTTATTAAAGGACACTTTTTGTTATATGGTTACTGTCTCCGAGTCTCCTGTTTTATCTCTGAATCTTGCCTCCACGTCCCCCGGGTTGCCACAACACCTAAGCCAACTAACTGTACAATCACCAGACTTTTACATCATTCTGTAACTTCCCAGTGATGTTCTCGATGTATTCAAATTCAAACAATCCCAAAGTACTTACGTTCCCATGATGTTCTGCATGAGGAAGCTGCTACTTATACAGTATATAAACATTCCTATAGTCAGTGTATTACCTACAGTCACTTATATGATGGCCGGCATGCTCTCAGTTTGGAGAAGCAGACCGGAGCACTGGCGCAAAAGCTAAGTAATGTACTGCTGTAGTTTGGATCAGCAAGTCACTCAAAAACACAAACAAACTTATCGATTACAAAACATCGTTCTGCTGCTCCCGTCCACAGACACTTTACAGACCTCTATAACCGGGAACTGAAGCAGTTTTAGTGCTCTCTTCAAAACCACAAGACTCCATTGACAAAAACAGTCATTTTACTTCACAGAAAACGGGATTGTGAACTAAACCTTTCAGTTTCCAAAAACTGACTCAGCTAGTGCCAGCGCTCACATTATTTATAACCTTACTGATGAACTCACTTTGGCTAACCTGCGTTACTGGTTTTTGATTACGGCTGAGTGGCCGTTTCCCTTTGAAAAACACAGACTTGAATCAAATGCAAGCGGGACAGCAGAAGACGAGGGTAAGCAACCTTAACAGCAGTCAAACATAGCAGAAATACACACATCTAAACCTGAAGATATGCCGGGTAGTGTGTACATGTGCAGTGTGCTTCTAGATCTCTGAGAACAGCTCACCAAGTGGTTGTCCTGAAGCTGTTGACTAATGGCGTTCCACATGTGGTCGTCATGGTTGACCCTGTAGAATCCAATGTGATCGTTGTTGACCTTCAGCAGGCCGTCCACTGAGGCCGAGTAGTTACCGAGGACATGCTCTGAAAACCAACAGTCATTTTGAGAGTGTTTAGTGTGTCAAGGAAAAATCGCTGCACTGGTCAATATCTGCTGTAAAATACAATCTCTGATTTGAGTATTATGAAAATAGTCCTTTTTTGGCAAATGCAATCAATCTTCTCATCATAAGAAAATGGATTAAATTTGACATAAGTCATTGGTTGAATTAGTCTGTACTGATGAAATGTTTTTTTTAAATCATTTTGAATGTTTTCAAGATGATATCAATATACTTAAGCTGAGCATACTGCCTGCGTTGCTCTTGTCAAACATCGCCAACATATATTTGTCGCTCTTCACAGAGTGCCATTTGACTGGAATGGTCCACTTGTACCTGGAACAAAAACACATTCTTTCTTATTAATACACCGATGTACCAAACCTACACATATAAAACAACGACACAGTTGTGTTACACGTCACGTCGGCATCTGCGACTTCCCACAAGTCGGTTGATATGGAGGTTTTTTGCAAAAGTTATCCTCGCTACGGCCATTGCAATGGCAGCAGTACACATAAAAATGGCTGCCGTTCTGACCGTCCTGCTATGTAGATTTGAATGGGTGCTCAGCAGGAAGTGTACTGTGGCTTTATTGGAGCTTTTTCACTGAAAACAGCTGACTGCCAGAACAGTAAAGTTGAGGGCCGTAAAAAAAACAACTGTGAAGTGAAAGCTGAGGGGGAACTACACAGTTGGTGACAATTGTATCTTCTTCGTATCACTGACCCAAGAGGTGAAGGAGGCTGGCTGGTATCAGCTTTAGGATCCAGGAGGAATCGCCTTTGGCTCAGTTTGGCATCCATCTCCGAGACAGACAGGTCCAGCACAGGATAACCCATCTGTTTGGTCCATGTATCCATGACGTCTGCAACCGGCAACCCACTCACCTGGTCACAGAGAGGAGGAACCGGCTACTGCTCAGAAAGATTGGCAGACAAAACCTTAAGCAATGCTCCACCATTTTGGAGAAACATGCTTAAGTTTTCTTTCTCAGAGTGAGATGCTGAGGTCATAATCAATCTCATGCCTATCAATTAATAAGAGAGATTTAGTCAGGATGTGATTAGACTAGCTTAGCATAAAGACTGGACAAAGGAGGAAACAGAAAAAATATATATATTAAAAATAAACGTGCTTTATCACATTTGGTTTTGATTTAAAGCTGTCGCTATCTTTAATAAAAAACTTTTTTGTCATATTTGCTCAAACTGGTACTATAGCCTGACAGCAGTATATGAGTCTGATAATCTGTGAAAACAGCTGCCTCCTTTTAATGCTTCTCGTGGCACCGCGCCAGAAGAAAAACATCCAATCCGACCTGAGGACTTAATCTAGCCTTGGAAGATTCAAAAGCAATAAAGTTCAAACATACATTGGCGAGAGATGCCCAGAAGTTGGCCGTTTTGGCGTTCTTGAAGTAGTAGTCTTTCAAGTATTTCTGGTGGAAGAAGATAAAAAAAGGCTTTCATCAATCATGTGATGGAAACTTTAATGAACATGAATCAAAAGAGCTGCATCCATTTGTTAAATATCTGCCGTGAACTAGCAGCCGACTTACTCGACAGCCATCTCTGAACACGTCTTTGCCCATCCAGTCCTCCAGCATCCTGAGAATGGACGCTCCCTGTATGAAGTTGGATCATTTTCTTTACAGACAGTATTTCGCTGCATGATAATTCATTGTCTGCATCCAGTAGTCGTACCTTGCTGTACGAGATGGCATCGAACACGGAGGTGATCTCTGCTGGGTTCGACACGTTCACGATGATCGGGTGAGAGGAGATGAGGGCGTCGTCCACCATGACGGGAAGCACGTCACTGATGATCATGATGTCTCGCTGTAGGCCACATGTGGGACACAAGGGAAAGTCTTCAGGACCGACCGGTCAATTGACAGTGGGATGAATTGTGGCGCCGTTAGAAGGAGAACTCACCATGCCCCAGCTGGGTTCAGCTTTCTCCACACCAATGTACTCAAAGAAACTTGCAAAGCCCTCATTAAGCCAGAGGTCATCCCACCAATCCATGGTTACAATGTTCCCAAACCACTGGGAAAAAGATAAATGATGTGAGCTTTCGAGGGTCCAAACAAAGGAAATAATGTGGAATTTGCAGGGAAAAAACCTGCTAGGGGTTATCAAGGTGAAAAAACGGAACCGTTTTTGCCCATTCTTAAGACGGCCTGCAGAGAGAATCAGGCCTTTGTTGGAGACGAGCCTTCAAGAACACATTGTATAATATTTTAGTCGGAAGGCTCCCTGTTTTCTGACCTGCAAACCCAACATATCCTTCATGTTGTCTGGATAAATTCAATATAATGTACATTTTCAGAACACCAGTTCAGGGTGTGCGGCCTGTTCTCCTTCCCAGGTCAAACCGCCTCTTTTGTTGCGCTCGCAGACCTCGTAGGCCTGACACAGACAGGCCACAGCAGGATGAAGCGTACCTTGGACGGGTTTGTGAGGAGGTGTGGATGTGCTTAGTTGTGCTTTAGAACGTAACTGCGGTGAAACAATCAGAAAGTAACGTTTTATTTTTCTGATTCACGAGTTTGTTCTCACCGACGCCGCTCCCTCTCTTCATTCCTTCTTTAGCTCGCTCGACCACCGCTGTGCTCTTTCTCCCTCTTTCTCCCTCTTTCCCTCTCTCTCTCTCTCTCTCTCTCTCTCTCTCTCTCTGTCTCTCTCTCTCTCTCTCTCTCTCTCTCTCTCTCTCTCTCTCTCTCTTCCTTGCTCTTTGAGCCGGAGGGGAGCAGCTAATTTTGAATGCTGTTTACAAAGAAAAACCGACAATATGACTACATACCATACCTTTAACTCTATACTATACAGGTTTAAGGTTAATTGTTCAGTACCTACATGTTAGAAGGCCTTGAAAAGCTTGCCACTTAGAAGACTACTTCACACAAATGAAACACATGCTGATCCCTTATTTGAAGATCATAAAACTTTATTGACTTCCCCAAGGCCTCTTATCTCCCATCACAGCAAAACAGCTGATATCTCGGAAAGACATGTGCATCATAAAAAGATTGAACAATAGCACATAAAAGATTCTAAACATTTACAATTCTGAACTGTGAACCCTTTTTTTCTTTTGTGTGAAATAAAGATTTAAAAAACATCATACCATTGCCAAAGCAAAAGTGACATCTTCACATGTGGTTGAATTGTGACACAAAAAATATAACTAGAAAATATAAAAAGTCGAGTAATTAAAGTAGACAGCGGTACCTGGTGAACCAGCTCGTGGGCGATGACACTGGCCACTCGTTGCTTGTTGTAGGACGATGACTGGTTGACATCGTACAGCAGGTTGGTCTCCCGGTAGGTGATGAGGCCCCAGTTTTCCATGGCACCAGTACCAAAGTCAGGAATGGCTATCTTATCTGGATAAAAACAGCACAGAGAGTCCACTGAAGTAACAGCTTATCACAGATTTTTATTGCATTACTGCCTCACTAATGCTTGACAGTGATATAGTATCTTGAAATTACCGGCAATATTCACATCAATTGTTGGAATGGATGTTCTTTACCCCGCTTTGCTGAATTTCTCATTAACAGATTTCCCACCATCAGTTGTTTCCATGATGTTCACCCTGGAAGATTGGATTGGGTAATGGCTCTATTAACTCCTACACTACTTTCAGTTCATTCAAGATTCTGTGCTTTTTCTCAAAGCACTTCAATTCTTTAGTATAACAGGGAGCATTGTAAAACCCACTAAGTTGTCCCAACTGGTGGTGTTCTCACTGACTTACAGCTGCTCTTCCTAGAGGTACTGATCAGTTCATCTGTTTTTAATGGAATCCCCTTTAACTTCAAGTTAGGACAGTTTTTTTTATTTCCTGTCTGGTCAACATAATTATATAACTATTTGCATATCAAAAGATTGCTCCCAATAAGCTAGGGATGGGTTAAATGCAGAAGTCAAATTTCGTATATGTGTATATGTATATGACATTAAAATCCTAACTAACCAGCGGTAGACCATCAGCTCCTGTGTTCAGTCAGGTAAAATGGTAAAGACATGTATGGATAAAATTATGAAGCGATATAACTGCTTTAGTGCCCCGTCAGAAAGAGCTTTGTGGTGGCAAGTTAAAGTGGTGAGGGTATTCTAAGGCGACTGTGGCTAAGTGGAGAGCAGGGCTGTCCTTCAATCAGAAGATCAGCGGTTCGATCCCCGGCTCTGCTAGTTGCATATCGATGTGTCCTTGAGCAAGACACTTAACCCCAAAATTGCTCCTGTAGCTGTGCCTTCAGTGTAGAAATGTGATAGAATCTGAATTGTAACTTGCTTTGGGTAAAAGCATCTACGCTAAATGACTGTAATGTATTCTAAAGATAGTGTACACTTGAACTGAGCTCTAACCTACATTTTTCTGCTGCTTCCGTCCACAGCCACTAAAGCCACCGTCAGACAGATTTCTCATAACATCATTGATTAGCTTAATTTGGTAACCAGTAGAGGCAACATCGTGTGCAGATCCCGCGGGTAGGGGCAGGGTGGGGA